GAAGTTGGTCTGGTCTCCCCCCCGCCACCCCCCTCCAGCCTCTGCATGTGCCCTTTTACATCTACCTAGTCCCAGACTTTTCTGTCCCATGCACCTGCCTATTCCCACGTAGACCTCTGCATCCATCCATCCTTTACCCCACTCACGCCCGTCCATCTCTCTTCCCCCGGGCACTCAGAAGACTAGGCTACCGATTCCCTATCACTACCTCTTGTCCCATGGCCCCATCTCCTAAGACTCATGGCTAATGGTACCCCGTGTTCCTGGGGTGGGCGGGTGGCCCACCAGCCTGGATCCCCGCTATTTCATGTCCCGAGCCAGGCAAACATGTATAAACAATTGGCAAATTTGCCATTAACAATAGAGCAATTTTGATGTCTCAAAACTACCTGCAAATTCCAGTAAAACTCATGAAATTGTTTAGATTGCAAACTACTACTAATAAAATAAAAATTCTGGAAAAAGTAGAGAAGTTTCTTTCTTGCCATTGGGAAATGAAACGTCTCTCCTTTCTGGTTTGAAAAGTGTCATTTAGCAGTAGAGTGAATTGCTTTAAAAAAGGATTAATTTCACTGTAATCTATCAACTGAACTGAAATCAGACCAAAAAAATCCATACAATTATTTTTACAGTGAAATGAATCCTATGAATTCAACTGAAATCAAAGGAAAAAAACACCCCCTAAAATATTTTACAGTGCAATTAATTCCTTCAACTGAACTGAAATCAAAGCAAGAAACACCCCCTAAAAATTCTTTTACTTGGAAGGTGGAACCTGGAAAAAAATGGCAAGAAATAAGGTTCCAAATCACAATTTATATAAAACTTGCATGTTGTGTTCCAAACGCAACACATTTAAAAAAGAGGGGTTAAAAAAGCACACAGTGGGGGTCCAAAACACCATGAAAATGCAGAAAAAAAAATGGTTTCTATTCCATGAAAATGCCCCAAATCAAGTCACACCCCCAGATTAGATTTGAAATGATGTTTTAGGGGGCTTCTTTGGGAAGAAAAAACAAAACAAAGATTTGGGGAGCAATTTGTGTTTTTAAGGGGTTTTTCAGTTTGGCCCCTGAACTACAATCTCCTCCCCGCTTCCAGGGTGTGCCTGCCCCACTCCCACAGGGGCCAGGGAATTAGCCGGCCTGTCGGCTCTACTCACAGGAGCGCAGCGGGAGAAAAGCCGTGGAGAGCAGCAGTAGCAGCAGCATTCTTGGTGCAAATCCAGGGGCCGGGACTGGTGTTCTGTCCCCGTCCAGCGGTTTATATAGAGCGGGTGGCGGGGAGGGGCCCCTGGGGAGAGGTGACCCAGGAAGGGCAGGGTCAGGCCCCCGGCCGGCCAGGAATTCCCCAGCTGCCATGTGTGGGGGTGGAGATTCCGCGAAAGGAAACCACCAGCCACAGAGGGGCTCCTTCCTGCTCTGCTTCCTTCCCTGGCACGGGGCCAAGCCTCTCTCCTTCCTGGCTGGGGTTAGGGATGGTGCTGAGGACCAGCAGTGCCCAATGGATGAATTCTTCTCCCACCCCCACTCCACCCCATCTGTGTGACCCCTGGATTCCTCGATTTGCAGGTTTCCAGGGTTCATTCTGCCTTCCTGTTGGATTTGCTCATGACTCAGTTTCCCTCCTTGGACTGCAGAGCCTGCCCCCCCCCCACCCCCTCCCAGAGCCCAGC